CTTTATGAATAAGATATGTGTAATGGAACAGCTCTACAGTGCTACAAAGTGCTGCATTGCAGACAACCACTTTCCACATTTTTTTTAGTTTTTTTTTTTTAGCTCATTGCCCCCTATTCAAGATTAAATAACTGTACCAACTTTTATACTATGTAATCAGTTATAAGCTGTGTTGAGAAAGAAGTAGCGCGAGTTACGTAATCAGATTACTTTTTTCCAAGTGACTAGTAAAGTAATGCATTACTTTTAAATTTACAACAAAATGTCTGAGTTACTCTTTCAAATTAGTAACGCAAGCTCCTTTGTTTTCCCATTCATTGACTGAAACCTCTCCTGTCCCCGTGTTGAGAAAATTGTGACTGTGCATACAGAGGCGTTGTGTACGCTGTGTAAGCAATAACATAATGGTTATTGTAGTTCTAGACTAAATGTGAGCATACATTTTCTCATCTCACTTGCACAAAAACAAATTCAGTATTCCTTAAAACGAATGCAAACTCAGAATATTGCACAAACCTTCAATAATTAAATCGGTTAATACAAATATACTTTATTTATTCTCACTTTATTAAACAATGTCTTTGCTGCTGAGCTTTGATGATCCAATTCAGCCATACCAATAATCAATAATGGCTAATATAAAAGCATTGAACTTTGTTCTCCTGCTTCCTTTTCTTCTGCGATCCTGAATGGCAGCACAGCTGAAATATTTGTTTGAGCTGCGGCCTCTAATGTAAAGTACAATTTGGTAGTCCTTCAGACTGATACTTATTCATTTCACTTTAGGTGTGAAATGGCCTTTACAATTGCCAAAACTTTGTTGTTGTTGTTTTTAAAAAACAAGCAAGCCCAACCCAGGTCAGAAAAAGTAACAAAAAAGTAATGTAGTGCATTACCGGTACTTTCCATAAAAAGTAACTAAGTAATGCAATTAGTATTAGCGCAATATTGTAAGGCATTACTTTTAAAAGTAACTTTCCCCAATACTGGTTATAAGACACTAACTGTAACACTGGCAGACACGAAAGAAAGTTAATTTTATACAAAATAAGTAAAAATGCAAAGTAGCTTTACAATACAAAATAGCCAGGAAAACAACTAAATAAAACAAAGAAAACCAATGTTACATCCAACAAAGGACATGACCTGACCAAGAAAACTGAAAACACATTAAACAATCACAAACAATACACAGAACCATAACACTAATAGTAGCCGCGTTTTCATTACCCTTCAAATTGCGCAAATTGAAATTGCGAATTGAAATGGGAACAGTTTTTGCACATTTACAGGTCACCTGACGTAGATGGCGCGGTATGTTTGGACCGAAGACGAGACTGATGTTAAACTCATAAAAGACAAAAGAATTAGGGGAATACTTGATTCTTAACCACTAAGAAATGCTACAATCAAGACCTGAAAGCAGATATGAGGGAGAATCACCCAGAAACACCTCATACGTGGCCGCTCCCAAGTATAAGGGGCTTTCCATTAATGCTTGGATAACATGCCTACGTCTCCTTTGATTAATAATAATGGCTAGTGCGGTGGCTGGGATATACATAAACCTACCAACATTCGTTGCCATAATTGTTGGTATGACTTATTGCGAGAGGAAAACATTACGTTTCAGTTGCATAACATCGGTTATGGAAACGTCGTAATTTCGCAATAGTTTTTTATCGACATTTAGAAAATATTGCAAAGGTTTTGCTCAAATCTGTAATGGAAACGCGGCTAGTGAAAAATTATTCATATGAATTTCATTGATTTAAAAAAAAATCTACTTCCTTACATTTAAATTCGAATTGCAGTTCTGCCTCCTGTTTTCAAATTAAATTACATTTTCGAATTAGATTCTAAAACTGGAAATAATAAGGCCCTAAATAAACATCTACTATAATATAATGAAATATTTAATATTTTATTTGGTGCTTGACAAAAATTGATTAAATTCACGAAAGTATTTGTAATTGTATGCATACTAACATGAAGAGGGTTAAATGTCTGAAAGCTGAACTTTTCAAAATAAAAAAAGAGAAATTAGATGAACTATAGGTGTGAATGTTACCCTTTTTAGAAACACCTTTATATACAGTTGAGCTAATGTGAGTCTAGGTCCAGCAGCTTTTCCAGCTATGGGGTAAATTAGGTGAAACCATCAATGTCTTTCACTTTCCAGGTAAATATTGACTCAAAGCCCTTGTATGTGAGTTAAACCATTGTAAGCATGTACCCTTACATCAGTCATCTAATCCCAGAGCTTTACCTCACATTACGTACCTTTGTGACCTTCCCCTACTGTCTAAGAGTGGAAGCTGTCCTCATACTGGCCTCTGACCAGCCTTAGCCTTGCCGAAACGAACATCATTCCAGAAACTGATTCCAGATCAGGAACAGGGAGCAATTTCTGCTAAAAGCAACAATGCTCAACTTTAAGCAGCTTGTGTACGGGTTGTTTGTAGCCAAAAGAGTTGCACAGTTCATTTGATTTATCACTCTTATCCTTAGGCGTATGGCATTGCACTCTGGCTTTACCTGCCCAAAACAGGCTAAATAAAGCACTGGCATTGTTTCTGAAAGATAGGTAGTGCTATAATTCATAGGTTTTTCAATTTTAATGCAAAGGAGCCTCAAATATGTTGATCCCATTTTGAGGTAATGGCTGCTTCAAATTTCAAAGCAACAGTACACATTTTCCTCTATAGAAACCCATTTTACTGTGTATGAAAAATAGTATGTGTAATACTACTTTATCTCTAAAGGCCCTTTCACATGACTTGTGTCACCAATGCATTGAACTATAATGCATTGACAAAATCTGACCTGAGTTTGGGGAAGGCCTATCTGTTTGCTAAGGACAGATGGGGGAGTATTCAGGGGAATCTATCGTTATTGTTGAATTTTCATTTGGTGACAGAAATTACTATTTGATTTAGCCAAATTAAAGTATTTCTGCATTGTTTGTATTTGTCCAGTAAAGACAGTTTAAGATAAGAAATCTGACTCTGTGCAAACGTCACACATATGCACTCATGCGTACACTAACGCTCATATGTTTGTGGATAATCTGGAATAGGTGGGATTTAAACGAGGGATGATCTGGGGCAAAGCACAGATTTGGACTGAACATTCCCACATATACCAACTACTGACAAAACAGAGAGGACCGTGTCACATGGACATGGAGCCTCATCATGAACATATATGTGCCTATGTGGGTTTTTTTAAGACTGTTAAAAAAAATCATCTGTTGCAATCCATATGCCTTTGAATTCAAATGCGTTTTTTGTGTGAATGGTACTTTGGTGAGGATAATTTGCTTCAATGGTTGGAAAATTCCTTAAGGCATTTACATACCAATCAGGGGAGTAATATATATATAACTGAAATAAGTTAATGTGTCAAAGTGATAGCCTTAGTTTTTCCTAATCCTCCTCAGTGATTATCAAAAATCCAGTGGTCGTTCAGTGATCCAGATGTTCGGCTTTAAACCAAAGAATCTACATAAAGATGGTTGTTAGTCTTTGTGTATGCTGTGATCCATGCCATATATACATGACATACTTACTATTTATGTATGCCATATTGATAAAGTACTCGTCATGCACGCTACTTTGAGCATGCAATCAGTTTTGCGCTCATTGCATCTCTGACATCTCTATGACCTTGTTTGATGGATTAGCCTCATTACAGATGGAGGTACAGCATGTATGCATTGATTTATGTCACATTACATTTCAGTGCTCAGAAACACTTAAACATCTGATTCAGGGTCAGCAGTTTCTCTCCACATGTAGTTAGGTGTTTTTCAAAATATGAGCACTTTTAACACTGTGGACTAGCATTCAGTGATGGAAATGGCATTTTAGACATTTTTGGAATAAATTGGCAGACTCCTTTATTCAGCTAATGCTAGTTTCATAGCGTGTCATTTAATGTATCCTCAACACGCACAACTAAATAATATTTTCACACTTCTCAGCATAATTTGACCAAATATAACTTAATTGGAAATAGATTTTTGTTTATAAATCAATAAACAAACCATTTCAATATTCATTGCATGTTCTTTCACTCTTTGTTTTAAACTATCATAAACTGATATTTTTTTATATAGTTTAAAGGGGTCATGTCATGGATTTGTTTTTATTTTATTTGAATATGTTCCTTGAGGATAGCATACTTACAAGTATAACATACTTATAATGTTAATAAAGTTTTTTTGCACAAAAAACAAACAAAATAGAAAATAAAAAATTTGAAAAAATATTTTTTGACCTAGATTCTGACCCTCTGTCTAAAATGATCCACTTTTAAGGGGCAGCTCCTTTAAGGTTTGTCAGTAAACGTCCACAGTTATGATTGGCTAACGTCATTGAATGGGAAACAGTATCAACGACCATTCGCTATTGCAGGTAAGTAAGTGTTTTGAAAACATTATCCATATAAAACTGTCATTTACAGACAAAGCCTTATGAAATCATTTACTTGTGGTTTGTGATGCAGCTGCTGTCATATCCAATACAGTTGGCTGATTCATCTTTCAACAAAAGTTTCTTTGCGAACTCTCCATTACACTGTGCTTCGTTTACAAAACAAAATGCTCCGAACAAACATATAATCCTCCGACTCGATCAAGAACGCCATTAAAATAAACCATCCTGGGATCCTTCTTGAAGTCTGTACAGAGACGCGAACAAATCACATCAAAGCGAAGATTTTTTCACTCTTCCATTTTTCCTGTTGTCAGCAGACTCAAGTACTCTACTGTATCCAGTGTAGACAGCATCAGTTATTATAATGGGTTTCATTTGCTTTTGATGCAACGCTCACATCTAGTGTATATCTTTAAGTTTGAAAGTCATGTAAATCATTGGGGTAAACTATCAAATCTATACAAAAAAGGCATTTGAAAAGTACCAAAATTCAAAATCATGATACAATGTATAAAGATTCCAAGACTGTCTTTATGTGACATTCTTTGTCTTGTGTTTTAGGTGTGCTTACCAATCAAGTGGAAAATCTACATGTTTTTCTGCTGGTATGTGGACTCAGACGAGTTAAGGATCCTCTGTATCTTTTAGAAGCTTTTGCAGGTATTGCTGCTCTATATAATACGTTTAACATCATTCTTCATGGAACAGAAACTGTATCATTGGAATTTTTTTTATCGTTTGTAGACATTATTATGTGTTCAATCAAATTAGTTGATTTTCTCTCTTACAGAATGGCACAGTCAGAACCCTCTAGTGGTCCTCATCATCATTGGCCCAGTGGTAAGAAAGATAGTATGATTTTAGTAAGACAAGCCTCGAGTTCAGGGTGACAACTAGTGGTCCTCAGGCCAGATTCTGCTCGTCAATATATTTGTTATGACCCTTTGATTTTTTTAAATTCCTTGCTCTTCAGACACAAAAAAGTATTAAGCAGCACAACTGTTTTCAACATTGATAATGTTAAGAAATGTTTGTTAAGCACCAAATTACCATATTAGAATGATTTCTGAAAGATCATGTGACACTGAAGACTAGGGTTGGGTATCGTTTTTTTTTTTTCGATACCGGTGCCAAATCGATACTTTTAAAATGGTACCGGTGCCTGAACCGATACTTTAAAAAAAAGAGAGCCTCAAAACGATGGTGAATGACAAAAAAAAAAAAAAACTAAAATTCTTAAAATGTAATATATTAAAATAATTTAACACTAAATAACAGCATTCTTGGTATACTACAAACCAGCTTTAAATTTCAGCTATTCTTTTTACATTTTTTGACTTCTCTAGCAAAATACAACACCTCTCCTGACTTATTGCATGTCCTGCACAAGGTGAGCGTTATTTTAGAACGTATCACTATAAATGCGTTACATGAAACCCCTCATAGAAGAAGAACACCGTCATGTTTACAACTGTGGTAATGAGAGCTCATCAGGATCAACTGAAGGCTGGATTTTATGTGAAGTTTGTGGCTCCATTGTTGCAGTAAATTTGCACGTTCTTGAATGAATAACTTGTGAGATGTATGCGGGTCTGTTATTGTAGGGACATCGACTTTACATTTTCACACACAAAAAATGACGCGGGAAAAAATTGGTTGCGTTACATGTCAGTCAGTCCTTGGCTAATATTTTTATTCTTAAATACATGTAAGTGAATGTATTTTGTCATTTAAGAAACCTTTATAATGATCATGATTCATGTTAGTTGATCTATAACGCACAATGGGTGCAATGTTAGTGCGCACGGCGGTTCAGAGAATTGGATCTGTCAGATTTAAGCCTACAACAGATCAATTCATCCACTTCTCCCGAAATACATTAAAGTAAGTCGCTGGTGAAGTGTGAGAAGAATAGAGTTAATTTTATAGTTACCTACACAATGTGTATCTAAACACTTAATCCATTTATAATTGAAAGGATTGTTATTGCCGCTTCCAAAGACATCAGTGTGTATTTTACTAACTATAAATGTTGTTTTAGTAATAGCCTACTTATGTGTATTTAAATGTCTGAAACCTAAAATAAACATTATGTGGTTGAAAACACTGAATAGTTGTGATGTATGACAGCGCTGAGCGCATCTGTCTCTACCCAACCCTACTGAAGAAGACTGGAGTAATGGCTGCTGAAAATACAGCTTTACCTTCACAGGAATAAATTACATTTTAAGTTGTAAAAATATTTCACAATTTTCACGAGTTCATACTTACAAATTGCCTTGCTGTCCAAGGGGAGGGCTCCAAGCTCGGAAATAGTATTTCCCCCGTATCCCTGGCTGGGATAGGGACCAGCCAAAAGTATAGGAGTCTGGGTGGTGGTGGGGTGCAGTAAAATTGTCGAGGAAAACTCGTGCTGATTGGATAGATCATTTGAATGTGTTCCTCCCGAACTTTGTTAATAAAACATAATTTACCGACCCAAAACTTTTGAACAGAAATGTAGTTATTTATGTCTCATAGTTCAAATGACCAATTAAAAAAAAAAGTTTATCAGATTATTTTATTATTTGGATCGTTTAAAGATTATTATGAGTACTGTATGTTTGATTATCGTGTTTGCTCGACTGTTCAGTGATGTGTAGAGCTACTCGACTTTAAAAACATCTGGTTACTGAAAATTAAAATAAAAGTAGCGTTGCTACTTTTATCTTGCCCTCCACTAAAAAGTGTACATTGTTGTAAATTTCTTAGATAATCTATTCCTCGAAAGAAAGTAGTTGACAAGCCCTGACCTGCTGTCATCACCACAGGTAAAGCTATGAAACGCTTCCACACGTGCTGTATATCCTCTCTTGACTAGTTAACATCTCCAAAAGCCCATAACACACCCTAACATCCTTTTCAAAGGAGCTGTGTCAGTGTTTGCGCATGTGAGCAACATGCTTCTGTAGATTCCAAGGTAGCGCTAATTGGATGTAGCAAAGATAACAACATTAGCATGCATTAAGCTGGACTTATCAGAGGCATTTAGAGGCTCACTCGAACTAGAGCAGTGGAATCATGGAAAGGATTGGGGCTGCGGGGGACTAGCATAAGCTTTGGACTATTAGTAGGCCTGCAGTGCTATATGGTGCTAGGGGAGGCTTGTTAGCTGCTAGGAGCTAATGGCTAGCCCGTGGCAGGCCATCTGCCACTCCTGATTATGTGCCAAGTCTAGGTGCTGCCATTCTGCCAACCCCGTAGAGAGGTCACCCTCCCCCTCTAGGCAGAATCAAGACTAGTCACAAACATGGTCAAATATTTTTAGAAATAAAGAGATTTTAAAAGATTGAAAAAAGGGAGGAGGAAACAAACAAGCCCAAGGCAAAAAAAAAAAAAATGTTTGCTTCCCTAAGTGTGTCTGGGGAAAAGGATAGAAGAGAAACTGGAACAGAGCAAGTCAACACAAGACCTAAAGCCCAAATTACTTCCTTTCTAATCCATGAAAGTTTTACTATAGAAGTCTGACTGCATATGTTCTATTTGGGATCAAGCACCAATGGTATTTTCATTCCACCATATTTGTATTCTTTTTCTGGCTGAGTGTCTAAGACAGCCCATGGAACCATATGGTAAAAAGTTGTGAAATTTGGCACACTGATTGGACGGGGTCTAATGGTGTGTTTAAGTTGTTTTGGGAAGTTTTGCATTAACAAGTTGGGAAGGTGTAATTACGACTTCAGGTGCATTCAGATCATTTTGGTCAGAGCCAGATGGCATGTGCTTTTACTGCAAATAATACAACAGGTATTAAAGGGGTCATATAATGGTACATGCACTTTTACAAGTTGATTGTACTGAAATGTGTGTTGGCAGTGCCTGTACACAACCATCATATAATGATAAAAATCCATCCAGTGTTTTTGTTTTAATCTCCTTATATGTTTTCCCCTGCCTCAAATTGAGCCGTTCGTTTTTGTGACGTCAATAAAACGGACGCCCCTCCCACGATTGTTGATTGACAGCAATCATAGTCTGCGCGGACCGGCGCGCTCATTGTTGATATGCTGGAGCACTGTCTATGAGCAGAATGGCGTCTAAGCGATTGTGGTGTTCTGTTCTTGGGTGTAATAACGAACACAGCAGTCATTTTAATGTTCCCAAATCCGAACCGCTGAAGACGCAGTGGCTGAGTTTGTTTTCGAAGGGAATATTCCCCACGAGCAACGTCAATGCTCTCATGTTTGCGCGAATCATTTCACACCAGACTGCTTTATAAAGGAGGATCAGTATAAAGCTGGATTTGCTAAGAAGCTGCTCGAATAAAGGATCGGTACCAGCTATTCGTGTTCCTGCTGAATCTCCAGAAGAACTGAAGTGAGTGTAACGTTTTATTAAACTTTATATTAATATTTATATCTTTGCAAATCGCTAGCTGCACACTTCACAATGAATGCGTCTAAGGTTTACACTCAGGGTACATTACGGCATGTTTTCTATGTACGACGTTCTCAATATAATTCATAATCCCACGTTTATACTGAACAACGCGTTATGGTTATTGTGTTATTGTGTTACAAACGGTGTACGCACAGAACAGAGAGGCGGGGTGAGCAAAGCTCATTATCATTTAAAGGCATATGCACTGAAACGGCGTGCTGAAAACAGAGCTGTTTTTGACCAGGTAAAATAAGTGTTTTCTTACAATACTAATGAGAATTTTTAATGAAAGTATATTACAAAGTTTTAATTTAGACCCTAAATAATCATATTAGCTTGTACAAAAATGGCATTATATGACCCCTTTAAAATGAAAAAGTTCTCTCATAGTGAGTGCAATTGAGCTCTATTTCATGTCTTCTTGTGCTTGAATATTTAAATTTGCAAGGCTTAAAAACGCATGCAAAGGATAAACTTTCGTGAAGATGGCCTGATCGGGACAGTGGCAGTTTCGTCAATTGTCCTGAGCGTCGTTCATGCTGGCAGTCCTTATTGTCGAGCCCTGCTGTATTTTCTACAGATTTCGATTTGTTTTAGCGAGTATTTAATTATTTCACCCAGAGAAAAACGTTGGATTATGCAACAGGCATTATACAACTCAGTACCTTCACACAGTTAACCAATAAACTAGTGCTGTCAAAAGATTAAAATATTTAATCGCGATTAATTGCATTAATGTCATAGTTAACTCACAATTAATCGCACATTTTTATCTGTTCTAAATGTCCCTTGATTTCTTTTTGTCCCATTATTTTTTCTCATTTTTATGCTCTTATCAACATGGAAAATCGGATCACTTTGTGCAAATGTGTTTTTTTTTTGTTATTGAAAACAATATTGGCATATACTGTAGTGTTCAATTTCACACTAACATTCTCACTTGGAGCAGTCATTCGCACTTGGAGCAAATACAGTAATCTCTCACACAATGTAAGACTGTCCATTAATACAAGGGTGAAAAAAATACTTTGTCACACAAACAGCCCCTTCAACAGCCCTTTCTAAGGGATCAAACCAGGGTGATACAAAATACAGTTACAAAGTGCACATGTAAGGTAAACTAGGACTCAGCCTATAGTGCAGTTAAACCATGGCTTAATACTTTCTTTTTCTCAAGTTTGCTTTGAACATAGCAGTCAGGCTACTGCTCTTTATTCACCAGAGGCTCATCAACCCAGCCTCTTATTTCAGAAAGAATGAACAGTAACGGTTACCAATATAAGGTAAGCCTACTACTTGAGCCAGTTACTCAAACAGACAAGCCTGTTGACATTTTCAGACAACAGGGAAGCTCGCTTCTTTTGTACAACATGCCCAGACAGTGAAAACCTTTCAGAAGGTACTGGTGTTGCTAAGTATTT